AGGTCATCTGGTCCAGTCCCCTGCTCAAACAGGGCCACTGGCAGCTGGTTGCCCAGGACCATGTCCAGATGGCTTTTGAAGATCTCCAAGGATGGAGACTCCACAATTTCCCTGGGTGACCTGTGCCAGTGCTCGGTCACCTTCGGAGTAAAAAAGTGTTTCCTGATGTTCAGAGGGAACCTCCTGCATTTCAGTGCGTGCCCATGGCCTCTGGTCCTGGCACTGGGCACCACTGAAAAGAGCCTGGCTCCGTCCTCTTTGCACCCTCCCGTCAGGTATTTATACACATTAGTAAGATCCCCTCTCTGAGCCTTTTCTTCTCCAGGCAAAACAGTCCCAGCTCTCCCAGCCTTTCCTCATAGGAGAGATGCTCCAGTTCCTTCATCATCTTGGGGCCCTTCGTTGGACCCTCTCCAGTATGTCCATGTCTCTTTTGGACTGGGGAGCCCAGAACTGGACACACTACTCCAGGTTTGGCTTCACCAGTGCTGAGTAGAGGGGAAGGATCACCTTCCTCATCCTGGGGGCAATACTCGGTCTAATGCAGCCCAGGATACCTTCAGGATAGCCTTCTTTGCCTCAAGGGCCCACTGCTGGCTTATGTTCAACCTGGTGTCCACCAGGATGCCTAGGTCTTTTTCTGCAAAGCTTCTTTCCAGCTTGCTTTTTACCCTCCTCCCTCCCCTCAGGATCCTGAACTCTACCATCTCACGGTCACTGGAGCCAAGGCTGCCTTTGACCTTCATATCCCCAATGAGCCCTTGTTGGTGAGTATGATGTCCAGCAAAGCACCTCTCCATGTTGGCTCCTCTGTCACTTGGAGGAGGATGTTATCAGCACTGCACTCCAGGAACCGCCTGGATTGCTTATGCCCTGCTATGTTGTCCCTCCAGCAGATGTCAGGGTGGCTGAAGTCCCCCATGAGGACCAGGGCCTGCAAAGTGACCGCTCCTGTCTGCCTGTAGAAGACCTCATCCACTTGTTCTTCCTGCTTAGGCAGCCTCTAGCAGACACCCCCTACAATGTCACCCATACTGGTCTTCTCTTTAATCCTTACCCGTGAGCTCTCAGTTGGCTCATCATCCAGGCAGAGCTCCACGCACTTCACCTGTTCTCTCATATAAAGGGCAGCTCCCCCTCCTCGTTTTCTTGACCTGTCCTTCCTAAAGAGCCTGTATCCCTCCATGGCAACACTCAAGCCATGGGAGCCCTCCCACCATGTCTTCCTGATCCCAGCAAGATCGTAGCCCTGCAGCTGCGCACAGATCTCTATAACTCATCACGCGTAGTCCCCGTGCTGCCTGCATTACTTACATGCACTTCAGAGAGACACCCCAGCACACGGATTTCCCAGAAAGGGTTGGGGGATTTCTCCATAATGGTGCCTTCTAGGCACTTCCTTGCTTACATGCAAACACTGGAGGTGACCCCGCTTCTGTTGATTTTATGATCTCTTTCTGTTACATCTGTCCAGGCCCTCTGCTCATCAACCTTGACCATCACTCCCTGAAAGGGCTGCTGGCAACTCTGTCTCTCCCTGCCATCATCACTAGTTTAAATCCTCTTTATCAGGAGGATCGTGTGCGATCATGTATACCCTGTCCCCCAGGCTATACACTCGCTGTGAATTTCAGTCCTCTAAAAATCTGCTCTTTTTCCTTCTATTACCAGCACACTAATAATTTTAATTATTATTTCTGAATATACCATGCAGACCAAGGCTTCCGTCCTGTTGTGGTTTTACCCACCAGAGGGCGAGATGTCTTCATCTGTGGCCACAGAGAGGCTTCCAGTGCCACGAAAGCAGAGCCTTCAGCCCTAGCTTTCCGGACAGGCTTAGGAAAAAATGCTCCCATTCAGGCAGGCCTGCAGCCAACTCTGCAAGAGATGCATTTCTGAGCGAGGGATGTACTTTGCTAACATCTCACCCTCTCCGTAAGTGACAGGGATTTCCCCAGATGAGTTAGGCCAAAGTTTCCATGAAGTAAAAACTGGAGAGGAATGGGAGAAAACTTTTTAAACTAGAAACAAAAATAGAGACATGTGGTATGCTGAGAAGAAACTGCTTGGTGATACTGTTTTAGGGAACATATTTACTACATGCCTGTCATTATCCAATATTACACACGCACACATCCTTGATGTGTGAAAATCCAGAGACGGTTATTAGCAAAAGAGGGAATTGGCCTATCCAAAGCACATGAAGCCAAATGCAAAAAGTAAAAGAGCTTCCAAGTCAGAGGAATGAGGCATTTTGTTTTGGTCATTTCATGTGTCACTAGCCACAGAGGACGGAATGTGAGAGAAGGTAATGATTTGTACTTCAAGCACCAGATACTGCGGCAGTGAGTTGCCTCAGAAGAGGTTCTTTTACCCAATAGCAATCTGTCTGGTCTTATCCTTGCAGCATTCTGATAACATGGGCTAAGAGGCAGAGCATTAGCAAACAGCTCTGAGATGTTTCCTTCTTTGTTCTATTAAGCAGCAGTTGAAGACGATCTCACTGACTAGGTCAGGGGAAGAATACGTCCCAATGTTGCCTGCTGCTCCTGTTGACTTCAGAGAGAGAAGTGAAGCCCTAGCAGCCCTGGTAAAAAAGGAACTGAACATGCCCAAAGTTTAAGGCATTGAGCTACCTGCTGCGTCTTAAATTCTGCAGCTGTTCCCAGTGACAGCTTATCCTTTATCCTGTAGTTCTTTGCTTTGTTCTGACTGAAGACAAGACCTGTTCTCAATCCAAAACAGTTCCTCTTGCTATGAAGTGACAAGCACTAAACTCATTCCTTAGCAGTATCCTTTCTAACACACCTGTATCAAATATTTGGCCCTTGGGAGCCAATAGATGGGGTGAAAGAAAGGAAAAAATCCAAGCTTGTCCTGCTTCATCAGGGTGTCTGTTGGTGAGGTGGACAAATGCTGGCTACGATGACAAAGCAGTGTAGAAAGTGGTGTGGGAGAGCAGTCTGATCTCTGAATCCCTGAATATTTCACTAGATGTGTGGATACTCGGGTGGCAAATTTCAGCCTACTGCCAACAAGCCTGGCCTTCTGAGTGTTTTTTAAGAGGCCCATTAGAAGTAGTCCTGGGAACCCTCAGACCCCAGATCGGGGGTATTGAAACACCATCCACTCTCCTTGCATGGGGATTCACCGGTCAGACTTTTTTATTGATGTGTATTACAGTAGCTTATATACACATAACAGCAGTCTTTCCTCTAAAAGGCATAAGCTTTAAACAGATAAGAGATCGGAAATCTTGATAAAGACCTCCTTTTCCCTTTCACGAGTAGATAGTAGGGATGTAGAAATGTAGGAGGCTAAAGAGGCTTGTCTTAACCTTGGCAAGTCAGGCTTGCCTCTACAGAAGTTGATGTCAAAGATGCAGCTGAATCCAGATCTTCTGAGTTCCACCTCAATTCCTTATTCCCCGTTTCTCCTCTCTCCTGCTTTATGGTCACTATTCCTAAGAAAGTACCAGCTTCTGCTATGGCTTTCCTTAATCTTCCTTTCTTCATTCCCATCTCCCTTAAAACACCCAGGAGGAATGTACTGGGCTCACAGTCTTCCGATCCTATCCCTGCTGACGTTCAGAGCCTAAGATCCTACTCTGTGACCCTGGATAAATCCCCTGGCCTTAGTTTCCCACTCATGCAAAGAGTGGGATAGCAGTACTCCTCCCCATTGGAAGCTGTGCACAGGGGCACTCTGCCACACAGCCTTGTTAAAAAGTTGGTTTTTTCCTAGAGGATGACCCGTGGCCCAGGGAGGCAAGTTTCCTTCTCTGAGGAAGGCGCTGGTCCTTGCTAAGTTCAGGAAACCTGCTAAAGGGTGCTTGGATATCACAGCAGGAGAAGCCAGAGAGAGCACTTTGGTCCCAGCACCTGCGTCTGAGTCAGCAGTCTCATTAGCAGCTTGCTGTCTTTCAGATCCAGCTCTTTCAGCCCTGCTTGGCCTTCAAACTATTATTTTCCTTTCTAAGGTCATCAGACTCATTCTTTATCTCCTACCGGCTGGCTTTCTTCTCTCTCCCACACTGTGCTTAGACAGACAGTCTGGCTGCATTTCTCTCTGCTTGACTTCTGCTTACAAAACTCTCAGATCCTGCTGCCTGTCCTTGAATCGCAGCCTGGCCTGTCTTGCGTACTGTTGATAACGAGACCAAGGGAAAGACATACAAAAAAAAACCTTTTCTGCGTGGTGATTGGCTTGGCTCTCTTTTATCTCTTATGTTTGGGAGTATGTGTGCACAACCACCTTTTCCTAGATGCACCCCCTGCTGCTTCATTTTGCTGCTTCCTTCAGAAAGAGATAAAAATTGTGTTTAAAAGAGAGGAACTATGTCAGTGCTACGTATTACGAAACCCACCATTTCACAGCTAATATACATACTATATACATAATACACCAGCACAATCACATCTGTTAAAATGTTTTGGGCACTCCAGGAATGGATTTGGCCCCCCATGGCTACTCCTCTCCCTGGGCACAGCGCAGGGCAGGGACAACTCCCAAAGGGCAGCATAGCTGCCGTTTTGGAAGCCAGGAGATTTTAATAGCACGGACATAGCATAACCTCACAAGGGGGTGAGGGCCTGGCAGAGGCAACACTGCGTTTACGCTGTGGGATGCTGAAAGGCCCCGGCTGGGCGTGAGGGGGAGGAGGAAGATGGCGGCGGGCTGTGTTGGAGTAGGCCGAAGCGCGCTCAAATCCGTAGGAAAACAGGATTAATGCTTTCCACAGCTCCCGGGACTGCTGCTTTTCCACACTGCGGGGACGAGGCCGCCTTGGGCCCTCGCCCCCTCCCTCCGTCCGCTCCCCCCGGCCACCGCTCGGACCGGCCCCACAGGCCGCGCTCCCGCCCTCCCGTTGCCACGGCAACCCCCCCTCCAGAGCCGCTCATTGCGCAGGCGCGGAGCGCGGCCGGCTCAGTGCGCATGCGCCTCCCGCTCCGAGCCTGCGCACTGGGCGGGCGGTTGCCATGGAGACGGCGTCGCCGGAGGCCGGGGTGGGAGCGCTTCCGCCGCCATGAGCTCAGAGCCGGGGCCGGGCCTGCCCTTCCTCCCGGGCTGCGCCTTCAGGGACCCCATGGTGAGCGCAGCCGTCCGGTGTACCGTGCCTCCCGGGGACACCCTCCCTCCCCAATTCCCCCGGAACACCCCTAAGCGCGGTCTGGCCTGGCCTAGCAGGTGACCCCCTGGGAACCGGGCCTCTGGCAGCCCCTGACGACACCCCCTGGGAACCTGGTACTCCCTCAGACCCTCCTCTAACTCCCCAGGAGACCTGGTACCCCTAAACTCACAGAATATTCCCCCAGGGGACGTGTTACCCCCGGAACCCACTCCGAGGGAATCTCCTATTCCCTCAGACCACCCTCTAATTCCCCCAAGAGGCCTGGTACCTCCCAAAGTCACCTAATATCCCTAAGAGGACTTGGTGTCCTGGGAACCTGGTACCTCTCAAACTCACCAGGCACCCTTCAGGGGTCAAGTGACTCCCAAGGGTCCTGGTGCCCTGTAAACTCATTTGATGCTCCCCAGCAGACCTAATACCCACTGAACCCCCCCTCCAGTGGACTTGGTGTTTCCCAAAGCCAACAAATATCTGCTGAACTCACTTCTGGGCAACCTGAACTCTCTGAACCCACCTGGTATCCCCTGACCCCACCCACAGCAGACCTGGTACTCCCTAAGTTCTCCCAATGTAATTGAAAGTCTGTTCCCAGCCGACCGAGTATCCCTGAGCCCACCCTCCAGGGGACATGGTACTCTTAATCTTGTCTCTGAGGAACCCATTGCATCTTGCACCCATCTGATAACCCCTGAAATTGTCCTGATAGCTTTGGAGAGGTAAGTTCCCCCAGCCTCACTTGAGACCCCAAAATCTTTCTCTATAACTGCAGAACTGCTATCTGCAAACTCACCCCATGGAGATTAAGTACCCCTGAATCCATCCAGTAGTTCTCCCGCCAGTTCATGTGATACCCCAAGGGAAGGCGTATCCCCAAACCCACTTTACAGTCTTGAAACCTGATTCCCCCAGGAAAACTACTGTTTCTCTGAACCATCTCAGTTTTCCCAAAGGGATGTTGTTCTGAACCTGCTACTCATTCTGATTCTGTCCTGAAGCAGGACCCATAAACTTACCTGATAACCCCTCAACTGTCTTGCTATACCCTAGAGAACCAACACTGTCCAAACCTCAAGCAGTCCTCTGTTAGGAATTAATCCCCCAAACCATCCCAGTACAGTTATGTCCTGGACCTGCCCACCACCCTTAGAGGAACAGATACACCCTGAAGTTGCCAGTCTTCTGGGCAATCAATACATTCCTGATAGGCCTTCCTCCAAAGCTCTGATACTTCCACAAATGCTCTCCTGGTGTTGCCTGGAGAACTGAATCCTTGATAGTCCACAGGGACCTAATGGTCTGGAACCTGAGAACCTGATAGTCTTCAGAGAACTGGTATCCTTCTGCAGAACTGAAACCACCACAGCCTCCAGGATCATCCCAAGGAAGTGAGGCCCTCTCAGCTGCTCCCAGGTTCAGTGGAAGAAGTAGTGTCATCCTCACCCACTGCACTTGAATTGATACCTAAATGAGGAAGCAACCTCTCCTTTTCCCCATTCCCAATGGTCCACACATTAAGGATCTGATAACCCCAAATCCTCCCAATATCCTCTTGAGAAGCAGTACCACAGATGAGAACTGATACTCTCTGAGTTCTCTCCAGTACTGTTTTAGAGCAGCTAATAGCTCTGCCCTTCCTTCTCCCTGGGGAAATGATATCCTGAGTCTTGACACCATTGCTCAACTTCAACTCAATGCTACTAATGTCAGTTTGAGAAACCAATATCCTGACTGCTTCCCTCAGAAGCAATGCTCCCAAACTTTCATAGGGAACAGAGAGACCAGGGCATGCCTTACGCTTCCCTGGAGTTTAATATCCTCAAGAACAGGCTCTTCCATTTCCATAAGGTTTCTTATTCTGATTGAGGCCCCTTCTTCCCCCTGTTCCCTCCCAATACATCCAAGTTGCCTGGTCATCAGGAGAACAGGCCTCCAGTATGCTTTGGTATTCCAGGATAAGGAACCTCATGCACTTGCATGTGAACTTTTGTCATGGGACATGCTGTGCTGAAAAAAAAAAAAGGCATTAGCATGAAGCATTACAGACTTGGCAAAAAGGTTGTTAATTCAGTGGAATTTCTTCAGATACAGACTGGCAGTAACTAAGATTAGGAATTTACATTCTGTGTTTTCCCTTTTAAATTGACATTAGTCACCTGATACTGTGAGATGTTATCTGGCATCCATGTTCACTTGGGAAAGCCTATTGACTCTGGGAGTCTTATGAATATATCAGGTGTTTTCTTTAGGCAACTGTGGGGCCTTAAAAGCCTGTGCACTTCTGACAAAAACTGATATTGCCCAATTTAAAGACAAACTTCCTGGTTTTCCTTGAATATTTTTCCCACAGCTTTCCCTTGGTATTTATTTAACAGAAGAAAATGGCAGTTCTGTAGCAGGGCTAATGTTTATAAGGCGTTCTGTTAACATGTCTTCAGTAAACTCTCTTGTTTTCACCTGAACCTGTTTTCCTAACTGCTCTGTCCACAGCATTGCAAGATCTGTAGTGCCAGTTTAAAGAGAAAACAGGCAATTATGTGAAATTCAAGTGGGGCCTTGAAGGTATAAATAAGATTAGAGGCTTAACCATGAGGAGTGAGGGAGGGGGTGGAGAAGAAGTGGTTCACATGCCTGAGGTTGGACTGATTGCAAGTCTGGATCTGGAAAAGGAGCTGAAGCTTGTTCCTTCAGTGCTAGAAATGTGTACAATTCTGTTTTACTTGGCAAAAATCAAAGTAAAGTCAGGGGTTTTATTATCAGGGACTCACAATTTCTCCTGCTTTCTCTGGAGCATTAAGTGCTGAAAGCCCAGTGGGACCAGCCAGGCATGGGTTATTTCAAATACTTTCAGGATTGCAGGTGAGATGCCAGGTATGGTGGACTGTACAGAAAGTCAAGTAGCTTGGTGTCACTCAAGTCTGATCCTAACCTTCAGTAGTGAAGAACAGAACTGGACTGACAGAGATCAGGTCCTATTCACAGCTCTGACATTTTCTTGTTTTGTGTCCTTAAGCAAAACGGAACTTCCTGTGCTGTCTGGATAATTATTTAGCTTGAAGAATGGCTCAATAGCTGGCATGAGGCAGATAGTGAAGACAGGTGAAAGGATCCAAGAAGCTCAAAACTGAGATTAAACCAACAAAGCAAAAAATGACAGGTGAATCCTATAGCCAACATTATACAGTGCTCACAAAGATAGAATTCTTCTCGTCTTATCAGGCTTCTCATTAATCTGCTGTAGAGTCTTACATTGTGGTTGTGATTATTTAATGTGTGAGCCTTGCATGGACTGTGGAGAGAGGTGGTGAAACAGCTAATGTGGTTTGGTACGTTTCATAATTGCAGTTCTGTGAGCGTGACACACCTTGATTTAGCCCAGCGAAGAAAATCCTGTGAACATCATCCCCAGGAGAGGGTTAACAAAATAAACAGCGATGGAAAACACAGAAGGTGCACAAGGTGTAATAGTCAAGGGAGCACTATAAGGCAGTAACAGAGTGAGGTCCCATGGTGCTCTGTACTGCTGTAACACAAAGTAGGGAGCAAAGAGTTTGTAGAGAAATACTAGGGCAGATATGCACTGAGAATGGTGGCAATAGGGAAATTAAGTGATTTAAGCTTGTGGGGAGTGGGTGCCAGTGGTAGGATTTGAGTTCACTCTGATGCTTCGTTCCTCCAGCCACTTACTGTTTTTTCAGCCTTCTTGATCCAAGTGTAAAATCTGATTGTAAATAACTGCTGCAGTAGGTTATAATAAAATGCTGAGGGGGCATTCTGGATAATTCACTATTTTACTGTTTTTCTGTGCTTTCAATAGCCATATCCACTGAGTGCATGCAGTATTTTAACAGCTGGATTTCCTTCCACAGAAAACATCTTTTCATCGGTCCCAGACACTGGGCTACAAAAATGGATTTGCCTTTTCTCGGCTGCCAACAGTGGGGATCGGTGGGGAGCGACTATATGTGAACCAGCTTTCTCAAGCTGAATTAGATGAATTATCCAACAAGAGACCCACGCTGACCTATGGGCAAGCCAAGCAGGCCCCACCTTCAGGCTTCATTCCAGCACATGTGGCTTTTGACAAAAAGGTATAAAGAAGCTTATTCCAGGAATATCGCTGGCCAAGTTCGGAGACATAAACAGTCAGCTCCAGGGTTCATGGGACAGTGTACAGCAGTTTTCAGATGCCATAGCCCTTAGTCAGAGACAGCTGAACCCCAGACTGAAAGAGGCTTTCTTTGCTCGGGAGGAGGATTATAATACGTAAACGATGTAAGACATTCCCCGCAAGTTATGCTAGAGCCTTTCCAGCAGGCATTGGAAAAGAAGTTTGATTAACTCTGAAAAGCTTCAGTTTATAACCATTGCCCTGTAAACCACAGCCTGGCCTTCTGTGTTTCCAAAACTATATTGAGATTGTAACTGAGCTTAAACTGTAAAAGACAGTCTGCAATGGGGACCCTGTTAGACTGTTTTACTGTGGTCTATCTATTTATGCTTGTGTTTGTCACCACAGCATGTGACAGCCTGTACTGCTCCATTAGTACTTCCTACATTACGTCTTGGTGATCTTATCAGACTAGGAGGTGGCTATGTGTCTGCCTGGAGCAGTCCTGAGCTGACCCTTGATTTTAAATGTGCCAGTGGCACAGACTGCAAGCTGGCAAGTGCAGCCGCAGCCACGGACAGAGCAGTTGCTGCAGAGTGTGCGAGGCTCAGCAGACCTGAGTGTGTGCAGAGGTTTGCATGCTGCCAGGCAGGCCTAGAAAGGCAGTCTGCAGCCAACCCTCAGCCCATCTGTGAGACAGTCTGGGGAACAGATGTGCTGTGTTAATTACTGAGGCTATTCCTTCAGAGTAATGTAGATGTTGCTGTTTAATCTGTCAGATACTTCTCTGCCCCTTCATCCAAGCCAGAGTAGCAGCAGGGATGCCAGTGCTGCTGGGGGCAGCCACGGTCCCTTTTGAAGCACTTTTGCTGGCTTGTAGGAAATTGCTGGCTTTATCATCTCTTAATTACCCAGGCCTCTGGGTTGATGTAGGCTGGGTATGCAAGGCCTGATTGGCCACCTACATGCTCTTAGGGGCATTGAATGATCTTGGAAGGAATATTCCTCGTACTTCTGCCAAGCACAGGAACTATGATTGACTGACTGGTTTTTCTCCTTGTTTCTCCAGCACAGATTAGCTTTTGCTGTCACTGCTGAATAGATGTGATTTAAGATGACCCATGCAGATTTTAAAATCCACAGATGTGGTTGAATCTTTACTAAAATCTCCTGATAACTTCCCTAAATCAGGGTCTGCAATGCTGACAATAGTAAAGGAAGTAATGTATGTCAGAAAATTAGATTACTGGCAGTAACCAAGCACCTGGCAGTAAATTTGTAAAAGGCACATCTTGATAAAAGCCCTCATGATGCCTCTGCCAACAGCCACAGATTAAGATACAGTTGGCTTTGATGATTTTATAGATTACAATCCAGTAATTTTGCAATGCCAAGGCAAATTACAAATAAATTATTGGTCTTAATAGACTAATCGTGGTGTTAAATTTGTTACTTTCTCTCTCCCTTTGTTATATTGCCCCTTTGGCAGATTTTGAAATTTGATGCCTATTTCCAGGAAGATGTTCCTCTCTCTGCAGAAGAGCATTACCGGATCCGCCAAGTGTGTATCTATTACTATTTGGAAGATGACAGCATGTCCGTCATAGAGCCTGTTGTGCAGAACTCTGGTCTTCCTCAAGGCAAACTTATCAGACGCCACCGGGTGCCCAAGAATGACCATGGGGATCATTACCACTGGAAGGATCTGAATCGGGGCATGAACATCACCATGTATGGCAGGACGTACCGCATAGTAGACTGTGACCCATTCACACAGGTGTGTTGCTTGTACAGAGAACACTGACACAAAGAATCCCAGGAGCTACAGGTGCACAGACGTGTTAAGAGTCCAGTAGTCTGCATCTGTAGCTTTCACAATATGGTTGCTCACAATCTTTCATTTTGCTTTTTGTGAAGACTTCTTTCTTCAGATCAATGGGGAGCTCAAGGTATGATAGTTGCTGAGGGCATGTTAATTGCTCAGTATTTTTGCCCCAGGGCTGCTGGGATCCCATCCTTTGTCCTCAGGACTTCTTACAATACAAATTCTAAGTTAATTTCTGTGTGTGCAACAGTTTAACTGCTTAGAGTCCAGATGAAACATTGTGCATTTGTGAGAGAGAAATTACTGATCCTAACTCTTTTCTGACTTAATACTCCTCTGTTAAGAATAGGGGAAGGGAATGCAGTCAGTAACTCTGCACCCATCTACAGCCAAGCCAGAAGAGCGGTCATGATCCGTGGGTTGAGAATTGTGGTATGAACTGACCTTTCTAAGAGAGCTTACTCATTGCCCGCTTTTCTATTTCTGGCTATTTCTGTACCAGTAAATGTGATAATAACAATCCAATATCAAGTAATAACAAATACCAGTATACTGGTATCCTGTTAGATTGTCCCCAGTATAATCTCAGCCCTGGTCAACTACTATTCTTCCAAGCATTTCCCAGGAGTGGTCCAGAGGTTAGAATGCTCCAGCGACCATTCCCAATAGGTGAGTTACATGCAGCCAACCTGTCCTGGAGGCTGAGAGAGTTTAGATGCAAGTTGTTCCTTGCCAGCAGGCCTCAGTGCCTAGGAATGTTCCCAAGCATGTATAATATATTGGTATATATGTGGCTGTTGAGAACATGTGGGGCCAGCTCTGCTGGAACTGGATGAGTGTTAAAGTCAGTTCACATCAGATGAAGAGCTGGTTCTCATGTAAATGTTGGCTGGTTAATGGAAAACATTAAATGAGCTACATGGGTCTACATCTCAAGGCCACTAGTCTACTTATTGTTAACTGGCATCCTCCAGACCAGAAAATAGTTAGTCTGAAAGTGTGAGCCTGCTTTGTGAGTCTTCAGGGTGATCTCACATGCTTGTTGGAGGTGTTTGCATAGGTGCTTCCTGTGCTGAATGTTTTCATGGGCCACTTCCCAAGGCCAAAAAGTGAAGAAGTCCCTTGAATTCAGAAGTTGTTTTTGGGTGACTGATGTGAGTACACAAGTAATACCCTAGAGTTTGTTGATGCATCTAAGGTAAGAAAAAACTCTGTTTATAAACAGATTGTCCTCTCTCTGTGGCAAAACTACTCCTCCTGAAAGATGGACTGAAGCTGCCACTCTGGAACATATCCTTGTGGCCCGAAGGGCCTTGGTGAGCCTAGTGTGGGTAACGCTAACTTCCACTGTCTGACACACTGGGGAGCCCTAGGTCTCTTGCAAATTCCGACTGACTACATCTGCGGTTATACACTAATTTAATTTTTTTCGTTTACATAAAAGAGACCAACTGACAGTTATCCTCCATTTAAAGCCCTAAGGCCAAGGAAAACTGTGCTCAAGTAAAATCTGAGTTAGGATGTTGAGGACAGGACTGCCCTGAGTAAGTAAAGGGCAAGGAAAGCTGAGAAACAGCTTAAACAGAAACATCTTGGTCATCTTCTGTTGTATTTGCTATTGCAGTAGAACTAATACTCCTGTAGCCTGGTGGTCTGTGAGGAATGAATTTGCAGTATTCTGACAACACTCATCTCAGCCCATCTGTAATCTCTAGTTACGTCTTACCTTCAGAACTCACGGCATCATTAATACCTCAGATGACCTTCCTAGGTGTTCCTGGAGAGCCAAGGAATTGAACTGAACCCTCCAGAGAAAATGATTTTTGATCCTTACACAGAACTGCGTCGGATGCCTATGCGCAAGTACATCACACCATCAGATTTCGACCAACTCAAACAGTTTCTGACTTACGACAAGCAGGTGAGAGAACTGGTAGTGATTACCCACATTACAGACTATATATGTTATTGAAATCTGAGTCTTGTGAGTGTCTGCAACCTTACTCATTCTAAAAAATCTCAGTCTGCTGAACAGACTCCACATTTGCTCCTTTCTTGGCTTTAGTGAGAAACAAAACCTTTTATGTTTTTGCTGGGCTTTGTGCCTTATAAACGGCTTCTTTTTGGATTGCAGAGCCTATGCTCTAGATCCTCCATTTTTCTCTTGCTTTCTGTTGGGATGAGGCAAGCCACCTGCCTTGGGAAGTTAGCAGGTGAGGCCAGGTGCAGTTCGAATATGAATGGGCATGCTGCATCCACTCCTTTCTTACCCCAAAACTTTGATGCCATGTGCCAGAGTGGACAATTTCAGACAAACAGAAATGTCACTTGCTCTGACTGAATTCTCCCTGTGCATACAGTTGACTAACACTCTCCTCCCTGCTCCTCTGGATCTTCTTTTCATCTAGCAACAATGTAAGAAACCCTATAGACTACATCTATACTAGAAAATAAAACAGCCAGGACACGACCCGAGTTCTGCATATTGTCCCTGGCCAGCTATCAATCAAACAGTTCCTGGCTATCAGCTAGGTGTTAGCCAGGATCATATTCAGTTGCCATTTTGGTTATGGGCACCCTGTTTTGAGGGGAGCAGACAGTTTTGCTGTGTGGATGCGAGCTGGGCCATGCCTGCCATTTTGCTACCAGTTTAGCCTTGGTGACTCAAGTCTGTGCTGGGCCAACTCTGCCTGCAACGGCTATTGGGCTGCCTGTTTAGGAGCTGTACCTTGGGGAACTCTTGAGCATTGCAGTGTGAGGAGTTTGATTTCTGAGGCATTAAAAGATGATATTTCTACTAGGCAGAAATAAGATGAGGTCTGCAGTGAATGCAGTCTCTTCAGGACTGCCGAGTGCATTCCCCTCTGCCTTCCTCAGCATGAGAGTGGAAAAGAATTGGCCATGACACCTCTAAGAGGTTTAAGAGTCAAAACAAGATTCTGTCTTGCTGTATTAAGTTTCATTATAAAAATCACTTCCCTTAAGGCTACTTCCCTACTCATTCCAGGGCAATTATTTTCTGCTGCTTTTTAATCACACCGCCCCCCCCCCGCCCCATTTTTCCTCATGCTTCCTGAACTAAATTTCTTGTCTCAGCATAAACTGTTCTCTTTCACTTGCTGCTGCCAAGGTAAGCCAGGCCTGTCCAGCTCTCCAGGCCCCTGCTGCCCTTCCCACTGCTGCGTCAGCAGCCCATTCATCCCAGTGCCCACAGTACAAGGGCTTAGTTCTTCCATACCTGGCAGAGAAGATTGGTGAGATGCCTCTAATCACCCAACCCATTTCAAACCACTTCATTTGGACAAAGCATGAGTAATTCTAATCCATGTTTGTCTTCTCTGCCTCTTTTTTCTCCACCCCAGGTCCTTCGCTTCTACGCCATGTGGGATGACACTGACAGCATCTTTGGTGAGAACAGGACGTACATAATCCATTACTACTTGGCAGATGACACAGTGGAGGTTCGGGAGGTCTACAAGCAAAATGATGGTAGAGACCCATTCCCAATACTGATAAAACGCCAACGCTTGCCCAAAACCTTTGTGGACAAGAAAAGTAAGTTTAGATTGGCCAGCACATCTGTATGTGCTAAAATGCCTTGGTGGGTAGATACATATGTGGTGGCTGTGTCAGAGGTACAGTGAGTCTGGAGAATTTCTGAGAACATTCCAAATGTCATCAGTTATTGGCCAAAGAAAAGTTCTTTAAATGATCATTAAATTCTTTATCTTTTGGGAAACAGTGGCAGGACAGCAGTATCAACAGCTCCCTGGAGCTGCTTATACAGCTTGTTTTTGTGTCTCTTTTCACTAGAAAATGTTAACATCTACCTGATTGATTTCTTTTTCCTTTTGTTGCCTTGTCCTTAGAGACCTTCCCAAGCTGTGTGCTGGAGATCTCTGATCAGGAAGTACTTGAGTGGTACACAGCGAAAGATTTTGCTGTTGGCAAATCTACCACCCTCCTTGGACGCACCTTCTTCATCTATGATTGCGATGAGTTCACCCGAAACTTCTATCGTGACAAATTTGGCATCACAGACTTCCAGCCAGTGGAAATAAAGAAGAAACCACTTGAGGAAGTTCCACAGGTACTGCAAACCATTTCTCAAAAGAAGAGAGGGAAGGAAGCAGCTGGTATAAGCTCATGTAGTAAAGTATATGTTCAGCTTAGTAAGAACTTACAGTAAACAAGTTCAGCTTAAAGAAAAGAGCAAGTAACTTGAAAAAAATGAGGCAAGAGTGGTCATAATTTATATAAAATGAAAGTCCTCTGAAACTGTTGATTTCTAATAGTGGAAAGGACAAAGCACTTGCTAATAGTGATAGAAAGAACCCTGGTTATGTCTATACTAGAAAATTAAAGAATGTCAGGATTTGTTTTTGGCTGGGAAGCCAACTCGCACAGTCTGGCTGCACTCATACTGCCAAAGTCTCCTTCACCCTCCAAAACGGGGTTGCAAAGTCCAGCTGCCTACTGGGAATGGTTACAGCCCTTGTTACCTCCCAAACTGAGCCTAGGAATGGTTTGGAGTGCTAGCTAGCCTAGACCACAAACATAACAGTTAACAGTGTAACCATATAGATGACTGAGTTCCTGTGCACAGGAAGGTTTAGTCATCAGTATAGCCACAGTCTCTTTATTCAGAGAAATCACCTGGCTTTCTGAATTTCAGATTTTCTTAATTCTCTTAAATATTGTCTATGGCCAGGCTAGTAGCATTTCTGCTGGGCAGGATGTCACAGCTATTGCTACCTGGTGACAGAAGATTTTTTCCAAACAGATGTTTTTTCTGATGAGCTGTCTTGCAGACATTGTCTTGTTCTTAGTTTCAGCTGTTTATGCTTGATATCTCCTCTGGATGCAGGTAATTCCTCCCTACAATGGTTTTGGCATCCTTGAAGATTCTCTTCAGAACTGCTTTTCTCTGCTTCCAAAGCCTCCTCGGAAAGATATAATTAAGATACTAGAGAATGACCACAAGGTGCTGCGATACCAGGTGGCCCTGGTAAGTGCCTTCCTTGACGGTATAGTGCCAGCTTATGTTGTAGAGTCAGAAGGGTGGGAGTAACAGCCTGCTCAGACAAGGCTGTTAGCAAATTCTCCTCTGTGCTGGTGGGAAAAGAGAGTTCCGCAAGCCAACACGAGTGCCCCGTAGGGGATGCCGTTAGGTTATTGTGTACTTGCTGTGACAATTAGTGGCACGCAAAGGTAGAAAAAAACAAGACCAGAAAGTACAAAACAGACATGCTACAAACCCACAGCCATTTATGGAAAAACTCCCACTGACATCAGCATGTGACAGATGGCCCTAACTGAAACAGCATTGCAGCTGGGCACTATGCCTCTGCCTGCCTTCAACCGCTGCCACAAGCGTGAGCTTGCTGTCTCTCCGCTGCTGGCTCCCAGCATCTGTCCTTCTCCAGGCTAGTCCTGGCCACAGCAGCCCGCAAGGGGCTGTGCTAGCAGAGCAGCCAAATGCCAGCACAGAAGCTGAGGAGTCCACGGGGATGGTGCTTTCCGCCCACGACAACAGCATTCAGGCCCTCGCCTTTGTGCCAGCTTTACAGTTGGTTTATGCAAGGAGCCTCTGGCACATCCAGTAGTAGCAATGGCATTTCCTGTGCTGCCTGGTGCCTGCCCTCTCCAAACACTCAGAGTGAATAAGGGATGATTTCTTTTCCCTATTGTGCGGGAGTTCCTAAAGGTCACAGCTGATGAGTTCAGATCCACTTAATTTTCAACTAAGCAAGTAAGCCTAGTGGTGTGTCAGGGGAGTGTCTTCCTGTGACTAAGAGCTGGAAGCAGCACCAACCTCTCTCAGGCACTCATTGTAACGAAAAATGTAACTTTAATACTAAATTTTATAGCCAGTCTCTCTCTCTGATGAATCATTCCATACAGGATATTCCTTTCTCTTGGATTACTCAGTCTGTGGAAACACTGAATATACTTGGTCACTGCAACCCAGATTCTGCTTCTGTTAGCCTGACTAGAGCAAGTAACTTTTGAAATTCAGATGCTTAATGCTGTCTAGGGCTTTGTTACGCTATGTCAGCATATCTGTAGCTTTTGGCCTATATCAAGCACTTTGTTTAGTCAGCTATAAAAAAAAAAAGCTGTGAACTCTGGGTGCTTATGAGTATGTTACTAGGTGCTCCTAAGCACCCCAGGAAAGAAAAATCTGGTTCAACTGTTCTTTTCCAAAGCCACTACCTTTCGTCTAGGAATCACCAAACCCCGAGGACAGAAAGCGTCGTTTCATCCTCTCTTATTTCCTCTCCGATGACATGATCAGCATCTATGAACCCCCAGTCCGTAACTCTGGCATCATTGGAGGCAAATACTTAGGAAAGACCAGAGTCACCAAACCAGGCTCTACTACAGAGAATGCCACGTACTATGAGCCCTCTGACCTCACCATCGGTTCTACAATTGAAGGTAAAATGCAGCCTGGATTGATAATACTCTCTAAGCAGTGTTGGTTTTCAGTGCCTGCTCCGCTATGTCATTTATTGCATGGACAGTTCATATACCTTCCTTCACTTGAAAGATCTGTTCCTTCTGGCTCTCATCACATTTGAGTTTCCAGATCACCAGCTGGTGTACATTGATATAACTCTGTTACTGTCAATGTTTGGACCTTTGACATAATTAGGAAAAAAAGAGCTACATTCTCCATAGTATGTGTTCAGTTTCCATTTTGGGACCTGCCAGGATTCACAGGATAAAAGCTATGTTAGATGACTTCCAGTAGCAAAGGCTTATCCTGTAAGGAAAATCTATCCTATAGGGAAAAATAAATGTAATACTGAAATATTTAGAAACACACCAGTGCTAACGTGGGAGTCATTTTAGGCCCAAGCACAGGGCCTTTGCTCTCAGCAGCTGCTTTTCTTGCAGCAAAACTCCCTTTGAGTCAGTGAAACTATTCTCACTTCAAGGGCTGAAACAGCAGAGCTCGCTCAAACCTGAGCCCAGCCACAAGAGAGAAACCATGCTCTCTCCTGGATGATGAAGAGACTTACCCATGCTGAAAGGCAAGTAACACTGCTTTCTTTAATGCTTCTTCCCCAGTGTTTGGCCACAGGTTTGTTATCACTGACGCTGATGAATATGTGCTTAATTATATGGAGAGCAATGCAGAGAGTTTCCCTGCGGCAACACTGCAGTCACTGAGGGATCATTTTCGCCCACAGCAGGTGGTAAAGGAGACTGCCAACAGGTAAGCTTCAAAGGACGGCATTGTGGAGCTAAATAAGACTCAGGGTTGAAAGCTAAGGGCATTTCCAGCAGCCTCCATGGGCTCCAGCTTGCTGTCTAATGGCTGCTCAGCTGATTATTCAGTTCCAAGAGCCTGTGTCTGGACACATACAGAGGTGGTCAAGTATGTACTATATAATGTTGTGGCTGCTGCTGACCCGAAAACCTTGCGGGACAACTCTGGCTCAGCAGCAGAGATATTTTCAGCTAAATGGACACAGTCATCTTTTCCCAAAAGACAGCAGTTAACTGTAACATGCCGCTAACAGTATCTGCATGAGCCACTAGGCGGTTGCAGGCTCAGCGGATGGTTGGTGGAGTCTTTTTTTTCATTTGCTCTGGCTGTTCTTATCAGCCCATCAGAGCCTAGACCACATCCTCTTTTTTTAGCTGTCTGGACCCATTTTGGGTGACCCAGAAACAACCCTGTTACCTTACAACACACTTTGGAGTCAGTTGGTATCATGGTAGTTCAAGGGCTCATGTTGAAACTAGGATGGCATAGAGTTCCTGGAACTAAATGGAACACACAAGAAAACGCTCCTTGTCCCAGAGCACTTGCAGACAAAAGGTGCATGGGGGAAATGTCATGCAAAGGGAAAACAGTTTACCTAAATTTCCAAGATCAGGAGTGAGCTTCATCTCCATGTCCAAGCTGAGATGAGCTTGCCACAAAAACCAAGCACCCCAGAAGCCTGCTGTGTGTTCAGAAATACACTCTGGCTAGCCATGGCGGGCAGCCAGCACACAAGTGTCACAGTAAGGCTGCCAGAAGTAGCTTTTACATGAAGTCCCGTTCTTCCTTTCTTCTACAGTGACATCCCTATGCTTGGGACCAGCAAGCAGGAACTGGATGAATTACTTGTGCAGGTTCGGGAAGAGCTGAAGCTCCATAATTACTTGAACAACAAGAACATTCGGGAGACATTTCTTCAGTGCGACAAGGATGGCTCTGGCATCCTGGACAAAGCAAAATTTTTAGCCCTTTGCGACAGCTTGAGTGTGCCAACCAATGCTATTCTTGTTAACAAGGTAAGAAGGAAGGGGTACTGTGCATATTGAATTCCCCTCCTACAGCTCTTCCAAAAGAGCTCTTCTACAAACCCTACCAACCCTAGCCAGGCAACACCAACAGCTGCTCTACCCTATGAAAGGGAATAGCTTCAAGAAAAGGGCAAGAGAGTCCCAATTCAGAAAGGCCTCTGAGTTGTTGGACTGAGCCTGTGTCTTAAAGGAGGAGATAATAATTGCTGTCCTCTAAGTAAAAGGAAGAAATGTTACCCAGGTTGCCCACCAAATGAGTAGCCTAGTGTTTGGATGCACTGTTATGTGAAGCCTGAAAATGCCTGCTGGATCAAATCTCAGAGATGAGCAGGAGAGGTTGTGTATCATGATAGAGATCAGGCACAGGCTACTGCAGCATTACTGAGTGTCTGTCATGACTTAAGCACACCTGGGCTTGAGTAGAGATGACACTGAGGTGCTTAGGGAATGAGCCTTAGGAAAGCTTAGATGCATTCTGGGTTTAACAGCAACTGAACTGAAGATTTGAGAACTAAATATTATATAAAAAAAAAAGAAATTAGAATCATAACCACTTGGTTAGCACAAGTAAAACATAGGCTTGCTGGGCACTATGAGCAACAGCACATGGAGATGACAGTCTGCATAGCAGAAAACGTGAGGGAAACTGAAGGGAAAAATTCATGCAGCGGGGATGGAGGATCCTTTCAGGAATATGACTGGCAAGGATGCTTTCTTAGCATAATATGATATGTAGTAGATTAGTGGCCAATAAAGGCAGACTCAGAGTTTAAAGAAATCTAGAAACCAGAGGGAGTATTTCCCTTGTTAAAAAAAAATTTTCTAAACCAGCCAACTGTGGGCATCACAGCTGTGGTTAGAAAGGTACACAGATGGGGTACTTATGTCTCCAAAAGTGCAGTGAATAAAGGCCTTCAACCAGCACCCAGGGCTTTGCTGTACTAGAGTTCACCGGGGACCACGCTGCCCTGAGGAAGTTACAATGTGGTGACAGTCCTTCCTGCTTCCACTCCAAGAACGGGAGACGAAGTGACATGCCTAAGAGCACGTGGAGAACCTGTGACAATTGAGGTTAAACCTCCATGTTTGAATTCCCATCTAGGACCTATACACAAAAGCATCCCTTTTCTCTCTTGAAATCTTAATAAGATTGTGCACAGAGCCCTCAAATTTGTGGCGGTGCTATAAGTTAAACATACGGCAGATTGTTAACTACTGTCTGGATCGGAGATGAGCACAGCTGTCAGTCACACAAGAGCAACCCTAGCAAAACTGTCTCCAGGCGACAAGGGAAGAAGAATCCTTTCAAGGAACTGTGATATTAGACCCTTTCCATCTCCCTGGGTGTCAGTAGGAGATTAGTTATGCAATTAAAGAAACAAAAGCTCTCTTTCTTCCCCTTAAGCACACAAAGGCTGTAGCTCTGTAACACAGTGCAGGGTCAGGCACAGATACCAGAACTGTCTCATTAGTACGGCTGTCGCTGAGCTCAATTATCTGTGTCTCCACTTTATGCTGTGTGCACACACCAAAGCAGCACCAGTGAACAGTGACTGTTCAGATATGCTGCCCCCATCCCACTTTTGGCAGGGATTTCTATGGGGTTTCTGAAAGATTTGCTGTGGCCTATGTCAGTCTGTGGCCATGCTTTATTTTTTTGTGGATCTATTGCCACCGAGGTGATACTCAGAAGGCAATTGAGATTAAACACACACACTTTAACTCTTCTCGTTGCATAGATCAGTGTCATCTATAAGCATTGAAGGTTACCTGTGATTCAGGACTACTAAGGCAGTAGGCTCTTCCACACAGGGGAATAAGATCTGCTCTGTCTCTGGGCACTTTCCCCTAAAAACCCAAATTTGCAGCTTCTTCCAACTCTTTATGGTGTTTGTTGTGGGTTTTTTTTTCCCTCCAGCTGATTGACCTATGTTCTTGTGGAGAAGACAAGATAAACTACCATGACTTCCTTCGAGCCTTCCCCTCGTGATCTTTGCCCAGAAGCCGAAAGCGCAAGACCAGCATTAAAATTCTTAGCTGACTTGACTTTAAGACATTGTGCTTCAAAAAGGATGCTCTAATCTTCACCTTTGCTTCACTCACTCTCCACCTTCCGTTCTCACTAGAGCCAGCTAATTTCACCTTGATTTTGTTAACATTTTTTTCTTTCCTAACCTTTCCCTGCCCTTTTAGCCACCACCAACTCAGCCTCACAACTGCTGGATATTGAAATGAAACTCAGAGGAGAAAAAACTTCAGAGAACCAAAGCCAGGTTCTCCTGTTTATCTCTCAACTTTCTAATGCAGTACAGGAAGGCTTGCTAGAGCTAAAGCTCTCTACAGCCTGGAATGATAACCACTTCAGATTTCTCTTACAGAGTCAAAAGGGACCTTTCACCTTCAAGCAGCAAAGACTGCCAGTTTAAATTGTTATTTGCATTGCAAGAAGATCTAAGAGCCCTGCCATGGACCATGATAAACTCATGCTTGCTAGTCTGAATGTAAGCAAGCCATGCATGGCTGCTATAAAAGTGTTAATAAATCTGCTTTAAATAGAAGTACCTCAATGGCTGGAATAACTAAGAAAAGTGGCAGGGCGGGGGGGGGGGAACCATGAAGTGTGATTCTGGGTTTACTTGAAATGGAGTGGTGAGTTTAGATCTCACACAGCTATGGAGATAGCAGGCGTCTGTACGCAAATCTGCTGACAGCAGCTTTGCATTTTTTAACAAAAGGTTGGGAGAATGGGTTTAGGACTGAGATGCCATTTAAACCCATCTTACGCAAGCTGTCATCTTACCAGACAGGTCCAATGAAAAGGGAAAACTAGCAGTTGGCATAGCAATAGAGTTATGACACTTGCGCTCCACTTAGAGTGACATTGCTCATCTCTCGATGAAGGTAAAGGTGGCAGGGACCTTCTCACCCCAAATGACACCTGCCAGGTATGGCCGTTGAGCACATATGAAAGGCAACTATCATGCACACAGTAGAGAACAAAGCTCTTTGGAACAAAATGCTTACTTAAATCAGGTTTTGTGCTGTGGATTCCCACTTCCCCTCAGACAGCTCAGTCTCCACATGACAGCTCCCTCCTGCCTCCTCTTGTTCAGAAAGGTCACCGCTCTTCCCTTCTGGGCCCGTTTTGTGCTGCTGCTCACTCCGACCGAGAATCACTACATCTCTCTCAGGTCCACCTTGGATTTCAAAGCATGGCTTGGCATGAGGTGCCTTCCAAGCAGCAGCTGACAAAGGCTAACTTCTAAAGGCCACCTTAATCAGTTTTTCCAGAGACCAAGAACTTACAGATGAAATTACTGGAGCTGGAGGCTGTAGAAAAGAAAGTCAGAAACTGTTTTCTGCACATGCTACAAAACTGTAACCTAATACTCAGCCAAATCATGTAGCATGCCCAGGGCCAGCTGCAGAAAGTATACAATTTAGCTCACCATAAAACACGCACCTAAACCACATCAGATAAATTATATCCTACAAATGCCCTTATCCTCCACTCCCAACGATGAAGGCAGCCACAGATAACTAACTCAGAAGCAGCTGCCCATGCTGTAGACATGGGAAATGCAAGAATATGAACCCCAGCTGTGGGGAACACGAGGACACAAGACACTGCACCAAAGGGAACAGACTAGTCTGGTACGGCAGGAGAGAGACAAGTACGACACATGGCAGCTTGCTTTGGAAATGCAAACAGCTTAGCAGAGTGATAAAGCATCAGCGGACAGCAGCAGTGGAAGAATCTATGCCTTTTATTTATTTATTTCAGAAAAATACTTTTGTTGAGTTTACCACAAAAGTCATTTAACAACAAACAACAACAAACAAAATCCGTACAAAAACTTAAGTTGACAGGAAGAATGAAACAAACGGGATAAAATATCAGAGACTGTTACTTTCCCCCACCCCCTCCAAAATTAGGAAATTTGCACTGAAGCATAAATATGGAAGAACAGAAATTTTCCTCAAGTTCCTTTGCTGGTTTGGTCCATCGAGTTCAGCATACTCGAAGAAAAACTACGTGCCTCTGCCTGGCTTTTACAACAGCCACCCTTCCCCGCTGCCAGCAAACCCCCACACACAGCCCCAAGGCAAAGTAACAAACTTCACAGTTTGAGTATAAAGCCTGCCAAACCATCTATTACACACTCACGAAGTTTACCAGAAGGCTGTAAATCAAACCCCATAAACTCCACCTACTGTTGATGCAAGTCGGGGTCCATCTACCAAGACTTCATCTAAGGCAAGAGACAGAGGCTGCTGTAAAACCCCACGCACTGCAGCAAGGGCAGGGTAGCTACAGGCTTCAAGAGTCACTTGGAGGCAAGGGGGAGGCATCCTAGAGTAGGTGTTCTTCCCTCCAACCAGGAAGGCTACCAAAAATACATTTTAAAATGGTCATTTAAGGGTAAGGGGACCTACAGGGGAACTGGAACTTGTCTTCTTTACTACTAACCCAAATATGGTAAGTCAGAAGAAAGAATCCTAAACAAAAAACAAAAAACCCAACAAACCAACCATGCAACTGTAATGCCCCATAACATAAGTCACTCAAAAATTATATGTGAAATGCTACATCTGTTCTTCCTCTGCCCCTTTCTCTTCCCAAGCCCATTCCCCAACTATCTAAGACAAAAAGAGAGAACTGCTGCTGGTATTTCACAGCTCTTCTAGGCTAGGGCAGGAAAACAGTATGCTTCACACCAAAAATCACAGACTACTCAATCCCCGACCTTCTTAGGTTGCATAATGGACACAGACTACAAAAGCAGCCTCAAGCCCACAGGAAGGGTGCAAGCAATAGCGTTACTGGAAGTAAAGACTTGAAGTTTTCCATGGTCTCTTAACACTTTCTGCACTGTGGTGGACAAGAAATCCTGTTTGGGGCTGGGTCTTTCTGGTAGAAGACACAAGGCTTGACAAGATGGGGCATGAGAAGAGCATCCACTCGAGGAAAGTGAGCTCGCGGCATCTTTGTACGCAGAGCGGTCAATGAAAGACTGACCACTAAGGGCTTGCAATGAAAATATTCCGTTTGGGAAAGAAAAAGCTCTTTGGGCTGAAGAGAAGGCTTGGTCTGCTGAGAAATGACATGGACGTAGAAGCAGTTACTGCGGGCTTGCAGCCGAGGGATGATGCTCACACTAGAAGACAAGAGATAGAAGCAGCCTGTGGCAGCCCCTCCAACGGAGGGTGGATTGCAAACCTCTGGGATGACAGCGCATATTGCCTTACAACAAAGGCTCAGCTCAAAAAAAAAAAAAATCCTGCCACGTTTGGGTATAACAGGAGAAGGGTGGGGATTTCTGAGGACTAAATATAGGGGAGGGCAAAAAAAGCCCCATCATCTATAGGTTTAAAGAAAAAAAAGAAGAAAAAAAAAGAACACATGGAAACATTTCAAAAACAAACTGTCCCTTTTACTGGTAGCTCTATCAAAAAGAAAACAAAAAACACATAAATGTTGCATATGCTGTACATACGTTGTAAAGAGGGAGGGCGTTCAGCTACTGATATAGTACACAGATCAAGCGTACGAGAGACTACATGGCAACATAAGGCACTTGGGATACAAAGCATAATTAGCTACTGGATGAAGACGCAGGATTGTGCAAGTGGAAAAGCTGCCTGAAGCGAAGCAGGCAGGAGGAGGAATCATTCAGCAGCCAGTTTTTGGGGGGACTGTATGTGTCACCTGTTAACAGAGCCAACACCTCGGCTGCTGCGAGGCAACGGCTTTGCAGAAAGGACCGGCTGAGGCTCGAGAGATGCCAGCCAGCAGTCGCTCTCGGAGGGCACGTGGCAGCGGATGGCTGGGGATGGGAAGAGGCAGCAGAAAGGAAAAACCTCTCACACTAGACCTTTTCCACATACTCCCTAACATAAAGCTCTTTTCCCCCTTCAATCACATTGCACCGCAAGTACTGTCGCTGCCTCTGTTTGAGCCAAAATGTGTATTATCTACCCGGCAAGGGCTATGAGGAGCAATTGCAAGATACCACCAAAGGCTCTACTCCAAAGTCTCCTTTCTCAGTTCCCCTGAAAAAGGGGAGATCCCTCTCCTGCTAATACCTCTCATTTGACGCTCAGAGGTCATGGGGCTGGAGGAACAAGTGGAATTTGATCAACTGTCCTCGTGTCCCTGCACACTTTCTCCCTCCGGTGCCCAGCATTAGCTGGGGCTCAACAAGGAGAGGGGGAGGAAAGGAAAAAAAGACACCTACAGAAGGAGGAAAAAAACCCAACCCAACTCAAAAAGGGGCAGAAAATCAACTGCCACCCGTTTCCCCAAAACACAAACGATGCAGAAGACGACCGCGCCAGCCTCAAGCTAGAATTGCACTTGGAGAGAGCCAGCGATCAGCCGCCCGAAGGGCTGAGCAAGGGGCATGCCAAGGACCGCACATGTCCCTCACCCGCAAGGAAGGTGGACCTCAATCCTGGCTTGCATATCGAAGAGCACCCCAGCTTCCCCCAACCCTCTGCCCCCTCTTTCTCGCCCAGCCAAGAGAGCATACCGCTCGCCTGCTCCTGCTGCGGCGAAGCAGAACTAAAGCTACAGCCGGCTTTGCTGCACGAGAGGCACCAACAGCAAAGCCAAGCTACAGAAACTGCCCCAGAGGAGAGCTGTGGGGTGAGAGGTGCCCGTCTACTGCACGCCTACCGAATCTAGACGGGTGCATGGCACCCTAAAGAAGCTCGACGAGCTGGCACTGACCCACGAAACCCTGGGCAGGAGATGCTGCTCCCCAGCAAAGAGGCAGCAGGGGGACCAAGCCGGTGGGATCTGGAGTTCCCACGAATCTCCTGCCAGCACATACGGGTGGCAGCGGGCAGGAGCAAGAGGAAAAGTGGTCTGCAGCAACAGATGGCCTCTGAGGTAGATTTGAGACAACTCCATCTGCCAACAGCTATGCGTCACAGGTCAGGCTTTTCCTAACATGCAAGCTGCTCCTTGCAGCCCCGGCTTCCTTCCCCTTCCCTGTCATCTCATTCACAGCTCAGAAAGGGATGAAGGGGCTAGGTTTTTTGGAAGAAACCCTGCATTTGATAGCACCTTGGGTGGATACAAGCTCTGTATCCTTTGGAAACAAAGAGTGAAGCTGGTGGCTGCCGATGGTACGGCTGCACTGGTACGGTAGGGATGAGGAAAGCTAAGGCGACAGCATGAGGGGCACAGTCCCATTGATGCGAAACCCTTTGCAACAGCCAGCTTGCTCATCTGGACGTGGTCACGAGCCATGAGAACACCAGGTCCATGAGGCACACGCAAGCTGGCAAAGGGCCTGGGCTGACAGGAGCCAGGCCAGCGCTCAGAGCAGGGCAGGACTCAAGATTTCACATGGACCTGAGGATGCTGCTGCCCCACGACAAGGCACTGCGAGCTGCAGAGCCCCAAGCCCAGCTCTCGGGGGCTGCGAGGTCCAGAACAACTACAGGGCAGCTCACCTCCTGCAGCCAAGAGGGTAAGAGGGACCAAGCTGTACCAGAAATGCTGGGGCAAGCAAAGGCTAGAAGGCGGGTCCTGTAAGAAGAGGAACATCTCTCCCTTCTCCTCCCTTTGGAGGAACGGCTCTCCAAAACTAGCTCAAAACCAGGGCCCAGAGGAACCCCACTTAACCAGAAGTCCACCATGAGACAAGACAGAGTTGAGGTTCCTCCCTCAGACCCTGGTCTCTATTTGCAGCACCACCAGCCTGTGGCACTTGCCAAGCATTGGCCAGATGTGCCCCAGGAGAGGCTACTCTTGCCCAAGAGCATCCCCGAGCCTCAGGGTCACGGAGCCCCAGCGCATTCCCCCAGGAGCCTGTTCCCGTAACAGACATGTGGTGCCTTCAAGCTGCTGTGGCCCTGACCCTAGGGCTCAGGGAAGCACCATGGAGAGAGGGGAGGAACATGCTGTAGAATCAAAAAGGATTGTTCGGAACCACCTACGATGCATTTGTAACAATAATCCAAAATAACCAAACACTAAAATAGAAAAGAAAAAAAATTGCACACTGATTTACGATGAAACAGAGGAAGGCAAAACCGGGAGGGTTGGAAAAGGCTCCTACGAGGGGAAGGGAGCAGGGAAAGGGACCTTTTTGGTTTTATTGCAAACGGTTCAAGAGAGCAAGAAAGGAAGGGAGGAGAGCGAGAGACACCTTGGGAAGATGACCGGTTTCCAAGCTGTTCCAAGATGACGCTCGTGAGGACCGGGAGGAGGGGCTGCTGCTTAGTCCCGGTATCTCGCCCTCCTCCCCAGGAGCCAAAGCCTTTCTTCTACGGTGATTTCAGCTTCTTGGTTCGCGGTGAGGTGCCGTTCTCTGCTTTCACCACTCCGTTTTCATGGTAACCTGGGGATGAAGAGAGACAACTTTGTCCCTTGCAAAGGCCAAAACCTTAACGCTCTTGGGGCTGGCCCGTAGACACAGGGAAAAACCCCCACCGTGGCATCACCCTGCTGGGGACCCCCTGCACTCAGCATAGAGCAGGAGGCACCACTGCGGCATTGAGGATGCTGAACCACAGGACCGATGCCTCCCACGGTGCCACCCCACGGTACACCGGTCCCAGCACTCACCCGAGTCCCTCTTGAGCGGCTTGGCTTGCTGCTTGGTGCCAGCAGCGGCAGCGGCTCGCTTCCGACTGCTCTGCTCGTTCCAGTACTCCCGCCAGCGCCGCAGCTGGAAGTGGATGAAGCGCCACATCACCGAAGCCTGGAAGAGGCACACCAACAGCAGCACACTCATTCTGGTAGGGGCGGAGAAGAGGCAGGCTGAGAACAGGGGAGCGAGGCCACCACCAGCCCAGCCTTCCACCCACACCGGTGCTGGTGGCCGAGGTCCCCCGGGTGGCTGCACCGAGCACTGGAGGCAGGCGCTGTCCCTCCAGCCACCATCTCTACTTTCTGCCATCCCCTGAGCTCGGGACAGCCACTTCCCTTTCCCTCCTCACTACGGAGCTCTCGGGTGCTCAGGGCATTGCTGACTCTTCAGACTTTAGGGCAGGAATGGATGAACAGGATCATCTCAACCAGCACTGCCCAAACCACAGCCTGCACACTCAAGGTAAGATGTCCCCAGCTGCTCTGTACAACTAAAAGGTGGATGTGCTTGGAAGGGAGCTAAGAAAGTCCCCCAATCCTTAGGCATGCCAGTAGTCCATGGCTTCAAAAAGCTTGGGAATGACCAGGCACCTGTCCTAGCAACTTCTGAACTGAATGTACAGCTGCTGCATGGGTGACAAAGGCTCCCAGTCTTGACAGATGGACTGCAACGCATAGGGAATGCATCCCATCCCCTGCTTCCCATGCCAACAGGCAGCAAAACACGTCCAAGCTGAAGGGAAAACTCATTTTCATTGACTGCATGCCTGTAATAGCGGTTATGAGTGCAGAAGGGAGAGCCTGCAAGCCTTTACCTGAGGTACCTGCTTCCACTCATCTGTTACACTTCACTCAAGGAACAACTTATTTGCTGGCTTTTCCCCTCTGCTGTGGCTCCGTGGCCTTTAACCCCTCCTCGCTCCTTCCACACCATCCTGTCTCGCTAGGACCTTCCCTAAAGGGAACCTAGGTCAGATCCCCACTGGCGTTTCCAAACTCAGCAAAAACCGCCCTGGGATAACACAACCAAGGAACATATGAGAGAAGTTTCCACAATTCAGTCTTCATGTGAAGGGATGCAATAAAAAAAAGGCAGTAGATATGGTAGGGGACATTCCTACCTGAAGAGGATATTGTTGAAGAGAAAGCTGAAGAAGTTTCCTCTCTCAGGGTTGAGGGCCTGGTTCTCCACCCGTGGCAGCCCGAAGCCGATGACCAGGATGTACAAGGTGAGGGTGAAGAGCCTGGTGACCACGAACACGACAGCCCAGACATTAAACCTGCAGGAGGGCAAGCAGAGGTGTCGGCAGAAGTAGCCTCCAGTGTTGAGCTAGAAGGTAAAAGCAAGCCCCCCGTCATGCTGACGGCTTTCCTGGGCACGGAGGATGGAAGCCGCGGCCAGCTCGCCTGCTTACAGCTTCTCGTTGTTCTCATCCGTGAAGTAGACCAGCCGGGCCATGTGGAAGAAGAATTCGGCTAAGTACTGCAACAGCAAGAGGATCAGCCCCAAGCGGGTTAAGCTAGGAGGGAAGAGAAAGAAAAATGCATCACTGGGCTGGTCAACCTCAGTCCTTCATATCCAGCGTCGGCATCTCACCTGCCATCCCTGAGCTGCAGCACGCACCAGCCCAAAGCTGAACCTCTCTGCAGCAATTGGGGTAGGACTGGAATGGGCAAAATCCCTGTCCCCAAAACATGAAAGCAGCCCAAACCAGTAGCAGAGCTGGGACGGGTCCAACACAAAGCCCTCACCACCGGCATCGCGGCTCTGTGCACACACTCAGAGGAAGGACAAGAGCTTGCCTGCCTGTGCCATGCTGGGAGAGCACCCCAGGGTGCTTCCCACACCCAGGGGAGATGCACCCGTCAGCCTGCCTTTTGGGTCCCTGGTTAACATTTGCTTTACGACGCCCTGTGAACAGAGACCGCCTCGGCACTCACATAACACCGCTGAACTTCTTCAAAATCAGCTCTGTGGGTCTGTGAAAACTGTTTGACTAACAGCCCACAGTCGGGGGGTCAACTTCAATACCATCTGCTTTTTCAACACTCGCTTTTATTCCCTTTAAGCCCCCCGCCCCGCTGAGGCTTCCCAGGTTACTCGCACTGCAAAAGGACCCGCTCAGCCCCATCCGTGGCGCGGGACGGGACGCCGAGACAGCCGACTCACTTGAGGAGGTACGCGCCGGCGATGTGCACCAGGTAGAGCGCGATGCACCGCAACTGGCGGGGAATCTCCTCCTGGCAGGGACAGAAAGCCGCGTTAACCTCTCGCCCCTCTTCACCCGCCCTCTCCCAAAGCTCACTTTCCCCAAAGCCGGTGGGTAAACCACCTCGAGCATCCCCAGGGTGTGCGGGAGCACCCGCCTGGCTCTCACCTTGCGAACTTTTTGGAAGTAGAGCTCCGGCAGGGCATGCAGCCAGTACGCCAGCTGGCACAGGTAGAAGAACTTCACCTGGAACCTGAAACGCAGGGATGAGCCACGTGAGCCAGCCTGGAGCATGGCAGGACCCCAAGGACCCGGGCACCGGGGAAGGTGTCTGGCCACACAGCATTGGGCAATCCCTCCACCGCTTGGAAGTCATAGGATTTAGGAGGCATCATTTCTGGGCTGACATTATATGTTGAGCCCAGCTAGCCATGCCTGGAGTTTATCCAGATGCTTGTGCTGCAGTCTCCATGCTCTCAGCAAACCTCACTCTTGCAAAAACCCAAGAAGGGAGGATTATCCCCCACTTTGTTTCTACTATGAAAAATGAAAAGCAAAGAGACTTGCCCAAGGTGATGCAGGCAGGAAGCAGCCAGGATGAGTAACCAAGCCCACAGGACTTTCATCACAGAGGAAACCCTCTGCGGGCAACCCTCCAGAGCCAGAAACGAGATATCCCCCATCCCCTGGGATCTCACTGCAGTGTCCTTGCAGCAGGGTGTGTGCAAAGGGTGCTGCGCTGTCAGCACCCCACTCCCAGCCGCAGGAAAAACCATATAGAGGAAGGAAGTGGTCAGCCCAAGAACAAAATGCCCTTGCAAGTGCTTACGGAAGATAAACATGAGGGTAGTTTTCCCACAGACTTCGGGGGTTTGATATGTATCCTTCCTGAAAAAGAGAAAAGACGCAAGCCTTCAGCAGAAGAAATAGGCAGGGCACGGTTACGACGGGGTGGGCTAATCCTACAGCGAAACAGGGAACTGGGGATGACACCCGAGTCCTTTCAGCCTGCAGTAAAAACCGTGTCCCCCGCATAAGCCAGGGCTCAGCTCTCCAAAGCTCAGCTGCATTCATGGGTCTCTAGCACCCCGCTCAAGTTTCATGAGGCCCCCGTGTTTGGGGGTTGAAGGTTGCTCGCTCGGTCGCACAGAGAGCCCCAAGTTCAGGATAGGATGCTTTGGGGTTTGGGCACTGCAAGAGGGATGCTCTGGAGGCGTGGGGGTGAAATGCTGGTAGCACGGCTACTGCTGTGTGTGGCCTGGGGGGGCTTCGTCCCCACCAGCATGTCCAACCCGAGTATCACTTAAGCAAAAAAGAAGTAATTCTGAAGATAAAGGGGAACAGAAAACGCCTACAAAACCAATTTAATATGCATTGCATAGTTTAATTTTCCACCTGCCTGCATTCGCCTACAGCCTCTTGCCTTATGCTTGCAGGGCAGATTATAGGATGGGGCTCCCTTCTCGTTCCACGCTTGCACAGCTCCTGCCACAGGGGTGCTGCATTGGGCTTTGCAAAGAGATGTTGGCATGGGAAATTCATCCTGCCCACCACCTCCCTGTCACCGTCATCCATACCCTGTCTGCCCTAAGCCCTTTTTTCAGTTGGGGGGGGCCAGGGGAAGTGCAAGTGCTGCAAAGGGTGACCTGCTCTGCACACGTGGGGCATTCGGGGAGCACATCACGGCAATGCGGCTTTGCACAAGAGGCTACAGCCCCACGGCTGGCAAGGGATGGGTCTGGCATTGGGTAAGGGCAGTCCAAAACCAGCGGCATCGACTGTTTTGCCAAAGCTTCCCTCCCTGCAGCCCTATGAGGCAGTAGCAGTGCCAGCAGATCCCAGAAATGCAGGCCTAGAAGGGGGTAGCGGTTTTCTAAGGGGGCTGGCAGGACCCCCCCAAGCAGTGGGGAGGGGACCTACCCCCAAGCATCCATCCCCAACACCGCCAGGGACCACAGCTGGACCCCAATGGCCACCAGTAGCCAAGCATTGCCATCACTTCATGCTGCCAAAATAGTCAGATCTCTCCAGTGATGCCTGTTCTTCCCTCCCCCTTCCTCCCCAAAATGAAACATTTTCACTCCAAATTTTTCCCCCAGCAGTTTTGGGTTGAAACATCCCCAATGAAACCCAAGGCGTGGTGCGGTTTCCCTGCTCTCAGCAATCCCCTTCACTGCCAGCTTGCCAAGAGAAGGACCAAAAAGAGAGGGATCACAAACATCTGCCCATTAGCCCCATGACCCTGCAAGGGGCATCCAAAAACCCCAAGGCACCGAACGCAAATAAGGAGGAAAATAAGAGGCTGAGAAAGACAGGAGGTCCCAGAGCAGCAGATGGAGGTGATGGGGCCAGGCAGGATTTCTGGGATCCAGCTCCAAAAATATTTCACAGCCCATTTGCTTCTGGCTTGCATGAAGCAGGAGAAGGATCTCCCCAAAGTGCCCTTACTCAGTGGTTGGAAAGACCCACCACCCTTGAAAACTAAACTTGCCAAAATGTGCCCATGTTGGCCCAGGGGCTGGCTAGGGACTCTCTGTTGCCATCAGGGTTTTGCGCTCCAGAAACCGCAAATCCCACCCAGGGAACCCAAAGCCCAGCTAGCCCCGTGCCTTACCGTCACCACGACGTATAAGCACCAAATCACGGAGGTGAGGTGGAAGGCAACCAGCTGTCCTGATTCATTGAACTTGCTGTGTTTGACCTTGGAGAGATGGAGACGCCTGTTGATTTTCTGGGAAGGAGCAGAGGGAGAGAAGAGGAAGAAGAAAACATGAGCCACCAGGTGAACAACCCCCCCTCCTCCTCTCCATCTCAAGCAGCCCCAGAGATGAAGGCTTCCTCATCACCACCTCAACCCCCAGACCACCCCCAGAATAGCATTTAACTGCAGCAGGACCACGGCCACCCCCATAGTACTTGAGATATTTTGGCGACTTGAGACACCAAATGGCACTCACGTCCAGGGCGTACTCCTGCACCACCGCATGCAGGATGATGGCAATGAAGATGTAGAAGAGGATGGTGACCAGATCCGTCAGCCCATAGTGATACTGGACCAGCTCCCCATCTGCAGAGACCAAATGGTGGGTCAAATCCCCACGACCCAATTTCCAGGTAAGGGCTTAAGGGTTAGTGGGGGGGGGGCTATTTCCAACACGCAGCTTGGATGGGGCCACCAGGGAGGTGGAGGCAGAGAGAGAGTTCACAACTGTGCCAGCGGCTGCAGGGCTGGAAAAAAGGGCTCTAGCCTGAGTCAGTGCATTGGCAGAGGGTGGATGGTTTCTCCTCTAGTAATTACACACCTCAAGGGAGGTGACAGGACCCTTCAAACTTCTGCCAGAGGTGAGGGGCTGGGGACAGCCCAGCTGTGGAGACAGGAATTTATCAGCCTGGAGGGACGAAGACACAGAGGCAGCACTGATGCACGTGATGGACAGGCAGAGCTTGCTCTCGCCCTCCAGGACACCCGACTGAGACCATTAGGGCTCGGGATGGGATTTCCACCCCCTCAGTTATCATCCAACACCCAGTCTCTCCCACTCACCCCTGAAAGCTGCTGGAGCAGGATTCAGCTGCCTAAACGCAGATGCCTTGTGCTATTACAAGATCTAAGACAGCAGCACGGGGCTGGCGTATGAGAAATAGGACCCACGGGAGGCCCTGCTCTTCTGGAGCAACAGGAGACCCAGCAGCGCCCAAAATACCCCAGACATCTGCATTTAGGCAACTATTTGCAGCCCTGCAGCTTATGGGCAAGAAGCAGAGTCAGGGGAAAGCTGCTATCCTCATGGCACGCTGCAGAAAGCATCGTGATGTGAAGCTCAGCCCAACCCCAGCTGCTGCTCTCCCTTACCCTAATCCTGTCCATCCTCTCCTAATATCAATGCTGGGAAGTGACTTGTCTGTCACCAGCCCTGTTTACCCTCAAATAAAGCTTCAGTCCAGATTTCTAAGATTTATGAAATAATGAATAGATTTATGAAAACACCTGGCATAAAGATGTGAAAAAAACCACTGGTCCTTAGGAGCCCGCCAGCTGGGTGCTGTGCAAACTCAAAGGTAAAAAAGTTGCCTGTATCACAGAGCCCATAATCCCAGATAAAGAATTGCAAGACTAAAGAAAATAACATTATGCACATGTGCGACTGCTCTGCTTCCTCTCCTCTCTCTAGGGCATTTCAGAAGCTGCTCTAGCAGGAGCCGTACGTGTGCTGAGCATGGGAGATGAGAGCGAGATCTGCCGACCAACGGGCAACAGCATCCTTGTTGTGAGGGATGCGAGACAGCCTTGGAATAATTCAGGTGAGTGATAACCCTTCCTCTGAGCAAGCTTGCTGCACCAAGGTCTCTCTCTCCATGGCATCAGCTAGCTCATGCCCTATATTGATACCCCAATACCTGGTCCTGGTGAGATGGTTATGTGCCCCCCCACTGCGAGATTTTTGGTATCAGAAGAGAATAAATCACTTCATGCAACAGCAGCAAAAGTTGTCTGGGCTGTGCCATAGGGAAGCGTGGGCCACAGTTTAATCTGGAAGCTGGATGATTTCTTCAACCATAATGTTCAAAGATTTTAAGGGCAGACCTTTTATCTTCCACATGTCTGCCTCATCCTAGTTTCAGTAATCCCAGCAACCCCGCTCTTCCCTTGGGTGATTACTTAAACACTTCTAATTAACTGCAGTTTTTCTGCCACCAAGCCAGGCTCTGTGCCCTGGGCGTTTGGCTCATGCTGAGCCCAGGGCTTTACCCAAACCACCTCCTGCTGCCCCCCACGCCGGTGCCCAGATTGCTGCCAGCCCCAGAGGGGCTCTTGCCTAGGAAGGTAGCTACTAGCAGCCAAAATGTAAGCAGGGACCGAGCCTCCAGCTGCCTCCTGGCTGGGAGATGGGGCACATCCTCTGGTCCGTCAGGCTCAGACATGCCCCAGCTCTGAGCCTCCTTGAATTACTCTCCATGTGCATCAGGACCATAAGCTGCCTGAAGCAGGGATGCTGTGCACCACGTGCATCTCCACACCCTCACCTCGTGCCATCTTCAATAAACAAAGCAAGACGGGAATTATCTGCACAGCCCATGCTGCTTAGCAAAGAGCTAAATCCCTCCTGCTCCTCGGCAGGGCACAGAGTTACTCTGGGCATGCAATCAGGCAATTTGATCTTGCCTGACCAGACTTGGAGGAGCATCCGCACCCTGCAGAGCACACGGAGCAGTCTGACCATGGCAGAAACAGGGTAGAGAGGAAGCCCTAAAACCCCCTGGAAAGCATTTCTTCCCAACCACGGCAGCACGAGGGCTGGCAGACACAATCAGCATGCTCTGAGCCACTCAAACTTTGCTTTTCCCCCACATATCTTATTTTTTAAATCTCCTTTACTACCAGACAAGGGCCTGAGCAGTGTGCATCAGTAGAGGGTAAGCCCAGGCCAGCCAGCAGCAAGGGTTTGGGGCAGACCACGACTCGACCCTCCCCTTGGGGTATCCGCAGCAGAAGCATCTCTTACCTGCTGTAGGCACACTAACATTATACTGAGGTAAGATAAACAGGAAGGCAGTCTTGGCTGTAACCTGTCAAAGACACACAGAGGAGAAAAAAAAGCAGATCAGCTGTTGAATCCATTCTTCTGCCACCATTTACTCCCCTTTCCTACCGTGCTGGGAAAGGAAAATCGTCCAGGCAGATGTGCAGGCATCAGCCTCGCTCACAGAAATGCCCTTCAGCAAGGAGATTGCTAGGGAAGAGGTTTGCCAACAGGGACTTGCGATTTGGGAAGGAGAAAGGGATATATAAGAGAGGAAGAAACCTGGAAAAGCAATGCCGCTGTAAAAGCCACCAGCCAGCCTGACAGGGGAAGCTCCCCTCTTCCCCTCGAGGATAAGCATCCCTCCAGTAGCATGGACCATCATCACGTGCGACCTGCTGCTCAGGGGACACCAAGAGCCCAACCCAGCAGGTCATTTGCAGTAATTAAAACCCATCCCTCATTCCCATCCACTCTGGACAGCCACACCAGGAGCCCAGCCCAGGTAGGGATGGCAGCACCCGAGCAAGCTCAAGCCCCATGGGCTACGCATTGATTTAGCCCCCGCATCTTTGCGGAGACTCCTCTAATAACAGCAGCCACGAGAATGGTGAGGCCAGACCCCTTTAGAGACCATGCAGGCGCTCATGAGGATCTCACAGGGCAGGGGAAAAGCAGGTCTGGCAAAAGAGCTGAACCTCGTGCTGGGAACAAGATCCCAGCCACATGTCCGGCATCACAGCCTGGCCCAAAAAGGGGGGGGGAAAAAAAAAAAGCAAAAAAAAAAGCCTGAGATGAGACATCAGGCCCCCTGCAAACCAGGGCTGTGCTGCTCGCTCTTAATTTATTGCTTTTAATTCAAGGGAACGATCCTCCGAGCAGTGAAGCAGGAGGCTTTGTGGGGACAGAGCAGAGCATCCCATCCCAGTGCATCTGCAGGATACCCCAAAGCAGCATCTCCAAGACCAACGCACCCCTGAGCCAGAGCCACAGCAAATTCCAGTGCACAGATGTCTGACGCCAAACACGCCTTCATCCCACCCAACCCCACACTGGCAGCAGGTCACCAGAGATTTCTACCTTTCTGATGGCTCCTCAGCCACCCCCCAACGCTTCGCGAGCGCCCAACCTCATATGCAACCAGCCAAAAAACCTCCCGTGCCCGTCAAACACCGATGGAGATGAGCTGCGTTTTGCACAGACGTAGCTGCAACTGTTTTGGAGCTGCAGGCTATTAAAAACCCGGCTGGAAATATTGCTTCATGTCTTGCGGGACATAGCTGCGTGGGGGACACAGGGGCTTTGCCAAGTGTTCCCATCCTGCCCCCCTGAGCATTGAGCAACCGGCCAGCGGCTCTGCTCTGCCAGCACAAGCGGTGCTACCCATCTTCTTGCAGCCCTGGCTGCAGGACAGTAAACTCCGTGGCACGTTTTCCTGATGTTTGGGGATTTGTTTTTTGGTTTTAGTTTTTTTTTTTTCCCCACTTAAAAAAAGAAATCCTGTATGTTGGGCTCTGCTTGAGGAGTAGATGCTAGAAGCTCTCTGCCAAGGGAGATGGAGACCACGGGCAGAGTTTGGGGTGGTAATGGAAAAAGTGCATCGCCTGGCCTCAAGCGGGCTTAAGCAGACAATTCTGGCTCTTGCAAACCTTGCTGGCTAGGAAAGCTAAGTTGCTTCATCCCAGAGCAGTACAGCACAACCAGGACCTGGACTTTACATCCAAACCTCATCACAAGCTGGCGCAGGCATGAAACAAATACACGAACCCAGCGGTGGCTGTGATGCTGCAGGGATGGGTGGCCGTGTCATGGATGTGCTGATGGCAGCAGGCACTGTAGGTTTTACGTCTTACCCAAGTGCCTGGCTGACATCCAGAGGTGTGAACATCTGGAAACAAGACATCATCTCCACATGATGTCTCCTAACCTGCTGGAGGGGCCACAAGCCAGACTTGTGGGTCTGAGAAAATGACCCCGGAGCATCTCCGGGGTGGGGAGCGATGCCTGCATGGTGCTCAGCCCTGACACTGTTTGCGAGGACTCTCCTGATCTTTTCTGGAAGGCCTGGTAGGAAGGTTTCCTCTATAGATACTTGAGGATCAATCAATGCTTTGTCCCATCTCTACACCTGCCTTTGCTTCCCATGGACCAGAGGACTACCAGCAGCTTCAGAGGCAACCTCTGCACCTCTTCACCCCTCCACCTTTCATTACAGAGATGTAGCGGGTTGTTTTCTAAAGCCTCCGTAAAATGTTTCACAGCCTAAGATAAATCCAACCTCCTGGACGTAGGCAAACTCCGGACAGACCGATTTCCAGAGAAGAACTGCCTCCCTCCTCCACCTGATGGATGGGAAGCCCAGGCACACACCTGCAGTCACTCACCAAGGGCCACAGCAGCAGCTTCGGGGGCCAAATCTGAACTTTTGGGTGTCCGACCTCCCTATCCACCTCTGGGCATCTCACAGACTTGACATGGAGGGAAAGTCTCTTGGGCACCAAAGGTGTTCCTTTCTCCTGCAACTGGTCGGCAAGTATTCACGCTGACCACGGAAACATCTGAACGCGTGCAGGATTTCACCCTTTGCCCTGGCGCAGTCCCCACACATGCTGTGGGAACCAGCAGGACTTTAACGGCCAAGGCAGCATTTTCAGAGGTTGGTCCTTGGGCTTTCCAAGGGCTCAAAAGACTGCTTGCATCTCATTTTGTGAGCGCTTGCACCTCCATGCTTTCCTCGCTGCAATCACACGAGAAACCCAGAACAACGCACTTATCATCTGGCTTAGCTCTGTTCTCCAAGACCCACCACCCACCAGGGTCCTGATCATGCCCCACACCCTTGGCTGGGTCACCTCCACCTCCCTGCCCCCACCACAAGGACATCTCATTTCAGATAGGAAAAGAGTCGTTTACAGCAGCTGAGGCCGCTGGAGCATGAAACACACGGGACAAACCACCTTGAGCAGGACACTGGTGACACCACTCCATCCTTGAAGGTGGAGGACACCCTGCACGTCCACAGAAGGACACGCGTCTTTTTGCCATTGCTGACAACGCACACCTTGCCAGAGGGCACGGAGGGACAGGCCACTCGACCGAGGTCCTAGCTGAGCTCCATCAAGTGAACATCAGGCTCCAAAATCCCACCGCTATAGCCGTAACCTCCACAGCATCCCCTCTGCCACGTCAACCGGGAGCGCTCATGGTGCGCCCATTGCTATACAGCCTTGCGTAGCATATAGAGACAGAAACCCCCAGGCTTCCTTGGCTCGGGAAGGAGCGACGAACACCGGGAATGGCGAAACTTTAGAGCTCGCATCGAGCATTTTGCAGGCGGCCAGAGAAAGGAGAAGTTTGTAACGGGAAGAGCAACGTGAGGATTATTCAGAGGCACAAGACGCTCGCTGTCTGTTTGCTCTGAAACAAGATGCTGGTATGGGAGAGGAAGCACCAGGCACGCTCCTGCCTTGCGGGGCAGCGAGCAGAGCTGGAGCTGCCGCAAAACTGCTGCAGGAGGGGGCAGAATCGGGCCTCTCCAGGTATTATTGTATTTTTTTGGTCATGCTGTGGGGCCACCTCCTCAACCTGCTTCTTTGGTTTTCCCCTCTTATCTCCAGCCTTTTCTCAAGGCAGCCAGAAGTCCAAATCCTACAGAGCATCACCGTGACTCGGGAAGGGATTTTTATACGGTGGGAGAGGGATTTGTCTGCGTGGGACGAGCTGAGTGGGGACTGTGTAGGAAAGGCTGTATATTCCTCATTCGTTCCTTGCCCTGCATTAACGGCACCTCTGTGCAACTCACCACTGCCCAAGGGGTGAAGGAGATGTTCCCCAGCCCAGCATCATCCTGCCTTGCATGAGGGATGTGCCTGAACCAGCTAAATTTGGGAAGCAGTTGTCCCAGGGGCTCTCTACAGCCAAGCAGAGGGAACAGCATCTTCAGCAGCAAGTGGGTTTCTGGTGGTTAATGACAGACGCTAACCCGAGGACCAAAGGGCAGCTGGATGGTGAAGAGGCAAAACTCAACGTGTTCATCAAGACCACAGTTTCCTGCCATGCTCAGAGCAGCCAGGACAGGGCTCGGGCTGAAACCTGGACAGGCTGTTTCTCATGGAGAAATGCAGCTAGAAATCAAATCAGCGCATCCACCTCACAGTCCTCGATGGCAGGGCACTGGATAAAGCCAAACGATCCCAGCACTACTATGCATTTACTATGCATCTACTATCCACCACTATGCATCTACTCCTTGATAATGCGGTGACCAGGAAAATTCACACCCCCGCTGGCCTGGAGTTTGCTTCCTAATACAAAGCAGCAAAGCTCCCCCCACCCTTTTTAGAAGATGCTGGTTTTTTCCCTGCCACAAAACGCTGTAAGAGTCCAAACCAAAATTCCAATTCCGCTTTTGCAGGCACGCAAGCAGCTTTTAACAAAGGCATCTAAGCACACGCACCCAGGCAGCTTAGCACCTCTTCCAAAATCTACCTGCTGCGACTCTCAAACCCTAATATTTTCAGAAGCGAGGGATAATTTTTAAGCATCCTTCGCAGAGAGGTACCGGGTCACTCTATGAAACCCAGTTCCCTTCCCAAAAGCCTCAGCCCAGCAGGATTTGCAGAGTCCGCGCTGTCTTCAGCCCAGCCGGGAGCCCCCAGGCACACAGCCATCCCCACAGCTCTGCTCGGGTTCAAACAGCTTCGGAGGAAGGAAACGGCTCCAAACCTCTGGCAGGGGAGGCTGGGGGAGTTTCTGCAGTCTGAGCCGGGAAAATATTTCCAGGGCTTGAAAAACAACTCAAACTAATTAAAGATAAAATGCTGTCTGAAGGCTTTTCTCACAACTTAGGTTGTTTTCCCCCCTCCCCACCAGCTGGAGTGTTTATTGAAAGAAAAACTTGTTGATCCACGGTACGGACTGACACAGGCTCTATATGTAAACTAAAGACCAAACTTTGGACCAAAGCCTTTAAAAGTAAACAGCTAGCTTCGACAAAAAACCCTCCCCGAGGGCGGCGCAGCCCCTCTGCTCCCACAGACACACTCGTCCCCCAGCACGACACGATTATCATCGCCTCACGCTCCCTCCTGTTTATTCCTTTTTTAAAAGCAGACTTCAATTCTGTTTCCCCCCACCCCCTTCCTCCAACTCTTCAGCCCCCAAGCCGCCCGCGTGCCTCAGTTCCCACATCTGGCAAAGACCAGGGGAGGCAGAAACACGGTTTGTTTTCCCTCGATAACGATGGGAAGGCCTTAATTTTTGCAGAGTACTACGGAGGGGACCGGGGAGGGGAAAGTATATTTAGCAGGAAGCCTAGAAATAGCAGCTCATTCGTCAGCCGCCTTCGTTTGACAGTGTCACAACCCAGTGTTTGGGAGACCGTGACTCACTGCCACGGCTCTGCGCACAGAGGAAAGCCCAACAAGGGCACAGCATCTCTTACAATATAATGTTTTATAACTTTATTACCGTCACAGCATGCATAAGCATCAGGAGCTGTCCTCTGCTTGGCCTGTGAGCTTGTGGCAGCCAGTTCTGGGCATAAAGGAGAAATAAGACTGAGCCTCAGTTTCCCCATCTTACAGAGGTTATGACAGCAGCCCCCGCCTAATATAGAAGCCCCCCCAAAACCAGCAAGGTCTCCCCAAAACTCAACCCACACGGAGGCTGACCGATCCGACACCGTGCACAGGAGCCGTCCCAGATGGGACACAAGTCGCTGGGCAGCTCCAGGTTAAACCCAGCATGGCCTCGGCTTCATTTTTCTGCAAAGCAGGGTGGAAAAAGATATGCAAAGCAATTTCTGCACAAGGATGGAGAGCACCTGTTTCGCATTTCTATACGCAGTCACTTAAAATGGGTTTTGACCCAAAAAAAAGGGGAGATTTTTCTTTCCAGGCTCCAGCCCGCTTGTGGATGGAGCGGCCACGCACACGCAGCAAAATCCCTCCCTGGCACCATGCAGATGTGCGGCGGGTGTGTTTTCACACCCTGAAGGCTTAGGGCTGGCCAGAAAGACAGAAATCCCCAGTGCCCAGCTCAGGATGCCTCCTTTTGGGGGGGCCCCCTCCAAGCCCTGGGCTTCCCTCCCTAAGCAATACCACGATCAACTAAAACGCACACAACGCTCGAATAATCAAGTCCAACGCACCTGTAACACGGACCAGCAGCCTCGTGCCACGCTCGGTGCCCTCAAATCCCCTCCCTGGAGCCAGGACGGCATTTTAGCGACGCAGCCGGCAGCGAAGCCGGGCATCAAGTGAGATGCAAAAGGTATTTCCATTGCGAGTGGTACCTTCTCCCTGCCACGGAGAAATTACCGGGCTGGCGGAGCCCATTGATCCGTTCGGATAGGGAAGAAGTTGCGCGCCCAGAAGGATGCTCCAGGCTTACCTCGCGCCGTGCTTGGGGACGGGGAGACCCGTGGCAGCCCTCGAGCATCACCGCGAGCAGGGTGCCAAAGCGAGCAAGCACTCAACTCCCGGGGACCGCCTGGGAAAAGGTTAAAAATCCTCCACAAAGAAACCTCCCCTGCAGGAAACGACCTATTGTGAGCAGGATTCGGCCCTTTCCGCTGGGCTTAGCCGTGGCCACCGGCATCAGGGAAGATGGGAGCCCGGTGCTGGGGTGGGAAGCTGGGAAGCAGGGCACGGAGGAGGAAGAGGAGGAGAAGGGATGGGGACATGTCCTCCCCACCATCGCAGAGGAGGTGCTGAAAAGGTGTAGAAAGGTAGAAATACCTGAGCTGCCACCAAAACTCGCTGTAGAGGTGGTGCAAATGGGAATGGATGGTTTGGAGGGCTGGGGAAGAGCAGAGCCCGATTTCTCCTCCAGGTGAAAAGAAAGCAGAAAGAATAAATAAAATAAAATAAAATAACCACAAGGACCAAAAAAGTTGTCCTAAACCCTATGCCAAGGGGAAGACGAGGGCACATGCTACCAAGCAGGGACGCAGCCCGGCGGCGCAGAAAGAGCACCGAAAGTCACCCCGGCACGGCGAGCACCGTCCCCCCCGAGGTCTGCCGTGAGAGCGGTGGCACCAGCAGAAAACAGCTGCCTCTCAGCAACCAGGGGAAATTTAACTAAAAAACATATTAAAAAAAATAATCAGGAACACCACAAAACCCACCCTGCCACCACCTCCATGGGGCGGGGGGGGCTCATCGCATCGCATTCCAAAACCGCCCTTGGAGCATCGTGTCAACCAAAAGCCCTCGCAGCAGCGAGCCCAGGTACCACCTCTCTGGGACGGGGTTCCCAGCATGCAACCGCAGGCACCAGCACCCCAAAAAAAAACCAGCTGCGGGGAGAAACCCTGACAGAGATGCAACCTCAGTGACTTTTTTTTTTTTTTTTAAAGTACAGCTACGAAACTTTGCAGCATTTGCATGTGGTTTTGGAATACAGCTGGCCCTCTTGGGTTAGTTTTGAAACCCCTCTGACCCTTAAATAAATATATATATGCGCAAGCACATCAAAAGGGTTTTGTGTACTGGAAGCGACTCGCTCATTCAATGCATTTGCAGAAAAAAAATAAAGGCGGGGGGGGGGATAGAGAAAAAAAGAAGGGGGCTGCCACCGGGAGGGTATTAAGGAAATGGATTTCCTCTTCTTGCGATTTGCTACAGAAGGAGCCTTTCCTCCTCCACCAGGCCCCCCGGCCACCCCTTTCCCGTCCGGATTTTGCTTTGAAACGTGGCACTGCGCTGAAGGGGAGGGTTTGTGCGCGGGGAAGCGGGCGGGAGTTTTGGGGGGTGGAGGGGGGGGTCCGATCCGGCTGAGCTGCTGACCACGGCTCGCAGCCACCCGAGGTGCCTCCGCTTTGGGTGCCCAGAGCTGAGCGAAGCTGCACGGCGGTGGCCTCCAGCCCTCCCTTGTCTCCTCCCCAAAAGAGGAGAGGAAAAAGCAAGCTGGGAGGGAAGGAGAGGGAGCAGGGGGAACGCGGCATTCCCGGCATGGCTCCGTATGGCGCTGGGGCGGTGGCGGGGCAGCGGCCTTCCCGGGGGGCTCCGGTCACCCCGGCGGGGCGAAGGTTTTCGGCGGAGAAGCCGGGGATGCTTTTTCACGACCCGTGGCAGAGCGGGATGGCCGGGATGGGGAAAAAGCCGGGGAGCTGCTGGTGTCTGCACGAGGCCCAGGAGCTCCCGGTGCTCGTCCCACGGTGCGGGGTCAGCGGGCTGCGGAGAAAACAACTGGAAAAGGGCTAACGTTATAAAAAAAAAAAAAAGCAAAAAAATACCACCACCCCCCGCCAACTTTTCCAATAACTGGAAATATCAGTGAGGGCTTGACTTGTGGCCGATGTACCCCTCCGTGGTTGGGAAGCGGCGCGGGGCAGGAGCAGCGGTGGGGTTTGCGGGAGAAGGGGGTTCCCCCTTTCTGCAGCTGGGGACCCCAGGGCAGGGCTGTGGGTGACAGAAGGATGTGCCACCCCCCCCCAAAACCCAGTGCCGGGTTGGGTGCCTACTGGGATTTTTTTCTGGGGGGAAAGACACCTCTGTGCTGGTAGGAGATGGGGAATGAATGGGGTGGCACTCTGCACCCCTAGATGGAGGGGGGGGGTATCCCAGAGCCCCCTCCCCAAGAGGGATGGGGTCACTTCGCTGGGGTGCAGCACCCTGAGCAGAGAC